GTTTTCAAACTACAGACTTAAAGATGAGCATTTCACCTAAATCAAAATGGATTTCTATCAGAAAATTTATACTCTGTAGTTTTCAGACTTAATTCAAAGATGTACATTTCACTTAAATCAATAGGATCTCTACTCTAGAAAATTTATACTCTGTAGTTTTCAAAATACAGACTTAAAGATGCCCATTTCACTTAAATCAAAATGGATTTCCACCCCAGAAAATTTCTAGAGTAGAAATCCATTTATAATTTTCAAACTACCAGCTTAGCTCAAAGATGGACATTTCACCTCAATCAAAACGGATTTCTACTCTAGGAAATTTCTACTGTGCCGTTTTCAAACTACAGACTTAAAGATGTGCATTTCACCTAAATCAAAGTGGATTTCTACTCTAGAAAATATCTAAATTTCTACTCTAGTTTTCAAACCACAGACTTAAAGGCGTACATTTCATTTAAAATCCAAATGGATTTCTACTCTAGACAATTTCTAAATTTCTACTCTAGTTTTCAAACTACAGACTTCGCTCAAAGATGTACATTTCACTTAAATCAATAGGATCTCTACTCTAGAAAATTTCTACTGTGCCGTTTTCAAACTACAGACTTAAAGATGGACATTTCACCTAAATCAAAACGGATTTCTACTCTAGAAAATTTCTACCGCGCCGTTTTCAAACTACAGACTTAAAGGCGTACATTTCATTTAAATCCGAATGGATTTCTACTCTAGAAAATTTATACTCTGTAGTTTTCAGACTTAACTCAAAGATGTACATTTCACCTAAATCAAAATGGATTTCTACTCTAGAAAATTTCTGCTCTGTGGTTTTCAAACTACAGACTTAAAGATGGACATTTCACCTAAATCAAAATGAATTTTTCCTCTAGAAAATTTCTACTCTATAGTTTTCAGATTTAACTCAAAGATGTACATTTCACTTAAATCAAAATGGATCTCTACTCTAGAAAATTTCTACTGCGCAGTTTTCAAGCTACAGACTTAAAGGTGTACATTTCATTTAAATCCAAATGGATTTCCACCCCAGAAAATTTCTAGAGTAGAAATCCATTTATAATTTTCAAACTACCAGCTTAACTCAAAGATGTACATTTCACTTAAATCAATAGGATCTCTACTCTAGAAAATTTCTGCTCTGTGGTTTTCAAGCTACAGACTTAAAGGCTTACATTTCATTTAAATCCAAATGGATTTCTAGTCTAGACAATCCCTGCTCTCCCCCCAAGGTCTGTACAACGGGCACACCAAGGTGGCAGTGAAGTGCCTCAAGGCTGGCAGCATGTCCCCCAGCGCCTTCCTGGCCGAGGCCAACCTGATGAAGAAGCTGCAGCACGCGCGGCTGGTGCGGCTCTACGCCGTGGTCACCAAGGAGCCCATCTACATCATCACCGAGTTCATGGAGAAGGGTGAGGCCACCCCGGGGGGCTCCAGGGGCTGCTCCGGCCTTGGGGATGTGGCCATGGAGGTCTGGGGGTTTGAGGCTGGGAAGGGTCTTTGGGGTAAAGTTCAAGCTGGGAAAAATTTCCGTTTAAATTGGAAGAGTGATGTGTGCTGGGCATTGTTCTGGGAAGGGTGACAGAGCCTGGGGTGGCCCTTGTGGCACTAAGTGGGTCCTGGGCATTGTCCTGGCAATGGTGACAGAGCCTGGGGTGGTCCTTGTGGCACAAAATGGGTCCTGGGCATTGTCCTGGCAATGGTGACAGAGCCTGGGGTGGTCCCTGTGGCACAAAGTGGGTCATGGGCATTGTCCTGGCAATGGTGACAGAGCCTGGGGTGGTCCTTGTGGCACAAAGTGGGTCCTGGGCATTGTCCTGGCAATGGTGACCAATCTTAGAGTGGTCCCTGTGGCCCAAATCGGGTCATGGGCATTGTCCTGGCAAGGGTGACAGAGCCTGGGGTGGTGCTTGTGGCACAAAGTGGGTCATGGGCATTGTCCTGGCAATGGTGACAGAGCCTGGGGTGGTCCTTGTGGCACAAAATGGGCCATGGGCATTGTCCTGACAAGGGTGACCAATCTTAGAGTGGTCCCTGTGGCCCAAATTGGGTCGTGGGCATTGTCCTGGCAGGGGTGACAGAGCCTGGGGTGGTCCCTGTGGCACAAATTGGGTCGTGGGCATTGTCCTGGCAGGGGTGACCAACCCCAGGGTGGTTCCTGCAACATGTGGGTGACCCAAAGTGGCATTGTCCTGGCAATGGTGACCAAGCCTAGGCTGGTCCCTAAAACCTGGGGATGGCCCAGTTTAAGTGCTGGGCATTGTCCTGGCAATGGTGACAGAGTCTGGGGTGCTCCCTGTGGCACAAAGTGGGTCATGGGCATTGTCCTGGCAGGGGTGACCAATCTTAGGGGGGACTTTGTGGCCCAAATTGGGTCATGGGCATTGTCCTGGCAATGGTGACCAAGCCTAGGCTGGTCCCTAAAACCTGGGGATGGCCCAGTTTAAGTCCTGGGCATTGTCCTGGCAAAGGTGACAGAGGCTGAGGTGGTCCCCATGGCCCAAAATGTATCCTGGGCATTGTTCTGGCAGGGGTGACCAATTTTAGGGGGCACTTTGTGGCCCAAATTGGGTCATGGGCATTGTCCTGGCAATGGTGACAGAGCCTGGGGTGGTTCTTGTGGCACAAATTGGGTTCTGGGCATTGTGCTGGTAGGGGTGACAAATCTTAGGGGAGTCCTTGTGGCCCAAATTGGGTTCTGGGCATTGTCCTGGCAGGAATGAGCAAGCCTGGGGTCCCCAAAACCTGGGGGTGACCCAACTTGAGTCCTGGGCATTGTCCTGGCAGGGGTGACCAGGCCTGGGATGGTCCCTGAAATTGGAAGGTGGCCCCATTTGAGTCCTGGGCATTGTCCTGGCAGGAATGACCAAGCCTGGGGTGGTCTCTGCCACCCAAACTGGGTCCTGGGCATTGGCCACATTCCCAGAGCTTTTTTGGGGGGACAGTGTCCTTGTGACCCCCCAGGAGCTGAGAACTGCTGCTTTCATCTCAGGCAGCCTCGTGGATTTCCTCAAGACCTCGGAAGGAGTCAAGCTCAGCATCTACAAACTCCTGGACATGGCAGCTCAGGTGAGGGGGGAGCAGAGAGCTGGGGATGGAGCTGGGGCTGGAGCCGCTAATTAACGACAGCAATTAATTAATAATCCCAAACCCCAGATCGCTGAAGGCATGGCTTTCATCGAGGCCAAGAATTACATCCACAGGGACCTGAG